AATTATTAAAAAAAATTAATGTCTAAGAAATATGACGATAGAGATTAAAGTGAATAGAGCATGTTTATAGTCAACTAAGAGCCCGTTTGGTGACCCTCTTTTCAGTTTATCAGGCTTATTAGTCGACTTTTTCACTAAACATGTAACTCTAGATCTCGCGTGCTGAATTGTGTAATTATAAAAAAAGGTAAGATTTGAGTTACTTTTATACTTATATTGACTGAAAACCTAAAATTACTATAGAGGATCATTTTAACCATTTTTCATGTAATTGTTTCTTTACTATTATTAATAAAATACATTTGAATATAATTTTTTTATAAATCAGCTGAATCATTCAATTCTGTCCTTTCAGCTAAAACTTCATAAATTTCAGCAAAATCAGTTGATTCAGCTGATTTTGATATTACCAAAGGGGCTCTTAAAAGTGATAAAAGCTGCAAAGTTCTACATCTCGTAATCACCAATATTTAAAATTTTCTAGGTTGGTATCATCGTCAAATATAACAAATTATATTTGAACTCATAGTCTATGGTGTATAAGAGATTTTTTTCCGAGAATATTACTATAATGAAACTTATTTACAAAATATGACTATTAGTTACTATATTAGAGTCTCATAGTCACTTGAGTGAAAAATTGAACTTGAGTTACTTGACTAAAGTTACTACTATAATCATTACACTTAAAAGGTCATATCGTTGTAAATAACCTTTATTGTAGCCATATATATGAAATTATTTCACTGTGTTGTATAACTCTATTTATGGAATTTTCAAAAAAAAACTCTACTCATGGATAGAATTGCATGAAGTATAAACACAAAAACAGTTATCAAAGAGTTTCCCTAGAATTGTCATCTCGTAAGTTAACATCACAAAAAATTATCGAGGCTAAAATGTGAATAGAAGCTTTATGTATGATGTACTAAAATGAAGGGCATGTATGGTAATTTCCATCTATCAAACACACAAGTTTTGATTTTTAACTCTAAATTGTGTAATAATCAAAATCACAGAAGAGGGATCGTCTAAACTGCACTAAAGTATAAAATTGTTTATGATTGTAAATGTCAGACCCATATTTATGATTGTAAATGTCACCCCTGAATTGTCCAAATTGTTGTAAATGTGGTCATTTGAGAGGTGAAATGTACTCCTCGTTCACTTTGTACATTTCACCGCTCAAAGGACCACATTTACATCAATTTGGATAATTGAGGTGTGACATTTACAAATTTAGAAATACGGGTTTGACATTTCAATATGGTAACTATTTCAGGGACTAAAAATTCATTTTCCCCTTTATTATCTCAAATTTCATATGTTATTCATGTTAGTCAACTCTAAAATCATTTGGGACTAAGGTTTGGTTGTTGTCAGGGGTGGAGCTAGGGGGTGCCCAGGTTAGGCCCTGACCCACCCCAAATTTAAAAAATGTCAATATTTTTAGTGTAAAAAATTTTGTGTAATTTTTTTTTCCAATAATATTCTTTGTAACGGCCCAGTCAGTTTAGTTTTGTTTTGGGGAAATATTTTGCCATGAAAGATCTTGGTAATATTCATTTTTTCTTGGGGGTTCAGGTTATGCGAAGTTCCACTAGTTTATCTCTCTCAAGCCAAATATGTGTCATATCGCTTAACTCGTTTTCATCTTCACACTCTTAAATCTATCTGCACGCCACTACCTAATAGAACTAAATTGTCTCTCACTGATGGTGAGTTACTTGTTGATCCCACAGAATACCGTAGCATGGTAAGTGCATTGCAGTATTTGACTATCACTAGACCTGATATTACATATGTTGTTCACTTTGTGTCTCAATTTTGTGGATGAAATTATGTAGAGGAGAGAGAATTAATTTTAGCCACATGTTTCTTATTTTAAATGGAAATGACAAATCTTTTTGGGACATCCAAAAAAGGAAATTTGGCCAACCTTTTCGGGACGGAGAGAGTATATAAATGATGAGTAAATTCCCTAAATAAGAGTAAAAAAGTTTTGAAATTCCAAAATATGACTATCATGTTTTTTATTTTTTAAATAGGAGTAAATTTCTGCCAAGTTTAGCATTACTAGACTTTTGAACATTACATTTTTTTCCAAACTTGACAGATTACTCATATTCAAGGAATAAAAAACATGATACTCTTATTTTGGACTTTCAAAGCGTTTTTACCCCTATTTAGGGCAATTTCTAATAAATGATTGACAATGCTATTAAACTTATTGGAATGCTATTAATTATTTTGAGTTTATTGATGTAAATTCATTGAATTTATTTTAATTTATGATTTAGGGTGGTTTTAATTAGACTAAGATTTTCTAGTCAAACTTGATAGGGTCTGGTCTGAATTGATCTGATTTGTTAATGTCCGGTCTCTATATATTTTATAATTGTCCAACTCTGGTGTAGTCTAGTTTGATCTTATCTGATGTGGTTTGGTCTAAACTGGTATGATCTGATTTGAGATTGAAAACAATCCAAGTAAAAACAACTTTAAATGAAATAGTTATACATCTAGTAGAGACTGTCTTTTTTAAAAATAATACTCCGTATGTTATTGCAAACAATTAAAAAAATGTATTAATGTACTAAAAACATAATGGATCTCTTCCAAAAGATTAAAACCCAGTGTGATCAATTGTGATATATTTAGTTCAAACTTTTAATATTGTAACAATACAATTATAATTTATTAATTTCTGTTCTTTGGATTTTGTCAAAAAAAATTGTTCTTTTGATGTATCTTTTACTTACTCCGCTCCTCATAAGCTTTTTTTCTGGATCCGCCACTGTATGTAAATAAATTTACTTCTAGTTTATGAAATAGGAAACATTTGGGCATTACAAAACCGCAAGAGGCATCATATAACTTGCACCAAAAATTGAAGTATTTAAGAAATATGCATGTCGTTGTAACAAAATAGCCATATATGGATTGAGATTTATGGCAAAAATTGAAGTGTTTTTCAGCAACCCAGGAAAATCATTTAAACTAACTTTATTTGAGTCCGTTTTCATAACTAAAGAACATGGTGAAGGAGTAGTATGCAAATATAAACCAAGCATCAATACTTATTAGCTTTGATTTCCTAAGTTTCCACTCAGATGGATTCCGATGAGCGAAGATGACACCGATTAGGGGTGGACCGGTTCCGGTTCGGGTCCGGCCGAGCCTCGGTTCATGAAAGGGGAGGCCCGGAACCAGCCCGGGTAACCCCGGGTCCGGGCCGGGCCTCGGTAATTGTAGTTTTTTTTTGCCTTTCCTAATTAACCCCCAACCCCCCCCCCCCCCCCCTCACCCCCAAACCACCTCAAATGGCCCATCATACCCAGCCCAACCCGAAAACTTAAAAAAAAAATCAAAAAAAAAAGAAAAAATAAATAAATTGGCCCGGATCGGGCCCGAACCGGCTGGGCCGGTTCACGTTTAGGAGGCCCGGGCCCGAACCGCCTACCTCACCGGGCCGGTCCGAGCCAGCACAGTAGCGGGCCAGTTGGCCCGGCCCGAGTCCACTCCTAACACCGATAAGCGAAGATGATGATGACAATGTCCAAAAGTTGATCTCAATTTCATTCCGTCTATCGCGAAGATGATGAAGAGTAAGTCGATGAGGGAAGATAAAGAGCGAAGTGAAAGCCCTAGAATTTTTTTTGATCGTGTGGTCAAAATGTGTTCGATTCCATCATTTGCAATGGAGTCAAAGATTTATTATTTTTTGGCTTGAGATTATGATGGAATAAAGCAAAATGGCTCACTAAACTGTCTGCGCTTCTTTGTTATGAAGCAACAGTCAGTCCATGCAATTTTGGACGGGATTTTCACTATGGGTAGTCGTGGACTCGGGTCGGGTCGGGCCCGGGTCGGGCCTAGGTCCGGTCGGGCCGCCGGTTTGTATGACATGGGCCCGGGACCGGCCCGAGGGTTGGACGGGTCCGGTTCGGGCCGGGCCACCCGCCCGGGTCACGGGTCGGGCCGGGCCGGTTAAAGATTTTTTTTTAAAATTTATATTTTATAGTTTATAGTTTTATACAAGTATTAAAAACAAACTTCAAGTGCATTTTTTTGAAATGAAATAGGAACTACATTTGAAAATTAAAACAAACTTCAAGAGACAAACATTTTGAAAATTGTAATCAATCGGAACTTCCCGCACCTCATGATCCTTTGGCTTTGTCACATGACTTCATATGCTTCATTGTCATCCCGTATCCGCCTGAAACCCCCATGCTATATTTTTTCCCGCACCATTTGCAAGTTGCGTACCACATCCCGGTCTTCGGGTCCTTCTGCTTATCAAAATTATACCGTATAACGGCAACTTGATTTTCCATCTTAAGTATAAAGTAGATATATAAATAATAAATATAATATATTGGAGAATAAGATAATTAGAGAGTAGAGAGTTAAGAATAGGATTTAGGAAGAATTGGAGAAGAGATATGAAAAAATGTTTAAGATTAAGAGTATTTATAGGTTTTTTTACCCCCCCCACCCCCACCCCACCCCCGGACCCCCCCTGCACCCCACCCAACGGCTATATAGCCGTTTGGGTTGTCCCCAACCCACCCCCCAAGGCCATAACGGCTAGTTTGGGGCCCAACAATTTTTTTTTTTTTTAAATTGGACCGTTGGACCCAGACCCGGGCTCGGGCCCAACCCGGCCGGGTCAACTTTTTCAGGAACCGTACCCGCCCAGCCCCTCCCCGCCGGTTCGGGTCTACACCCGGTCCCGGACCGCCCGACCGGGCCAGTCTTGTCCAGTGCCCTGACTCTGCCCCTGGTTGTTGTTATTATTCTATCACTAAACATTTGATAATAATGTAAGATATTTAAATTTCAATGTTATTATTCGCCATTGTGAGTAACAATGTGATTACTATGTTGTAAGCTACGAATATAAGTTAGTGGTGGTTAATAGTGGCAAGGTGTCAGCGATTTATTGTTGCGATATACGAGAAGTACTTCGTATATCAATAATTCAGTGCATTGTTGAAATATTTTGTATATCAAATAAAATGGAGCACACGAATACCACAAGGTATATAAAGTAATTACTACAGTATGTTATATTATACTCAGTAACATTTATAAGCATCCCAATTAAAGAGTTGTCCGCACGCCTTACAAAATCGTCCAAAGTTGTGAACATGGATCAGATATGGACAAGTTTTATAAATGGCATTTATCTATTGTGAATTTCATTCAGAGTGTCATAGAAGACTACATGCATATAGTACGCAATAAAATGAACGTAAACGAATTCCATTGTATTATTTATATTGGGCATTGTATTAGTTACATAAATAGATTTATACTATGTTTGCATTAGCTTAAAATTATAAATGCATGTCTTGAACCCCGGCCATCGAATGCTACATACATTTGCTGTTTATTTTATTTAGATATAGAGATTTTATGTTTAACTAATATAGCTATTATGTATTGTGTGTGTGCATGATTATTGATTAAACACTAGCTTTGCTTGAATTGGCTAAACGCGTGCAAGGGAAAGTGGTGGTCTCAATCCGATAATTGAAACTGGGATTGGAGACGGCTAATCACATTCTTGTCTAATAGGAATGCTTTGCTGAGAACATCAGGAAGGATGGGAGGGTCAGTACCAAAAAGAGCATTAGGTATAACGATGGCTTCTGGGTTTTGCCCCCCAATAGCAACAAACAAAGATACATTGCTCCCTCCGGGGTTGTACAAGAAATGAATCAGCCCTTTCGGCAAAACAAAAATGTCTCCGGGAAGAAGCGTTTTGGCATACAATTTATTCCTCGAGTCGATGAATCCAACATATATTGTTCCCTCCAACACCGTGACAATCTCGGTTACTAGAGGGTGGAAGTGGGGTGGGCTCGTTCCATACGGTCCAAAGTCCACGCGCCCTACCGAAACACCCAACGTGTTTAGTCCTGGTAGGCTTTGCACTCCTATCAGCTTCGGTGTGTATCTTAACCGGTTTGATGTGTTCAATGGGATGTTAAACCGGGCTTGCATGTAGAAATCATCAGCATTCACTTCTGCTATGTTCTTGCAAATCTTTCCATTCACAAACACTGTGTATTGCATTATATAGATAAGTAATAAATTAGTCAAGAGGGGACAACGAAATTGCTAATATATATACATGTGTGTATGTGGTGTCCAATATGTAGCTTTTATTTTGGGCTTAACATCCAACATTTTTACCAAGGTGACAACTCCGGTACCTTTCTAAAAAATGGGGTACCGTACCTACCATTCATTTGATTGGACCACACCACTTTATCATTTTTAATTTAGATTTAAATAATTCAACTGCTTCATTATCATTGGTCCATGTGGACAAAGGTATGGTACCTTTTGGGTACCATAGAATCTACCTTTTACCAAACTCTATAGTGTTGATTTTGAGCTCTCAATTTTGTATAACCATGAGCTGCTTTTCTCATTAAATTGGTTGATTTTGTTGAAGTAGATTATTTTAGCTTGTTTTTATTTTTTTGTATTTAGTTAATAAAATATATTTTAAATACAGTATTTTATATTTAAGCAGATTCAACCATTTCGATCGGCGTTAAAGCAGATGCTTTTACTTGGACTAAAATTTGTGGTCTGATCTGGTCTGATGAATTGGTCTGGCTGGTCTGGTCTCTATATATTTTATAACTATCCAAGTCTGATCTAGTCTGATCTGATCTGGTCTGGTCCTCTGTTCTAAAAATTGTTCTAGGCGCCCGACTAGTCCCCGCCTAGGCGCTAGGCGGTGCCGGGCGTCCCGTTTTTCGTCTATGCGCTCCAAGTAATTGGTTTGCCTTCTAGGTGATTTAGTCGGCCGTCTATGGTGCCTAGTTGTCCGCCTAGATCGAGCGCCTAATCGGCCGCATAGATCGTCTAAATTCACCGAACATTACTTTACTTTTTAATTTTAATTTTCTAAGTGATATATGTACTCTAACTTTAGTCATGGATATAAAGAAATGAAGTTGTACATTAAGTTAAAACTATATATGTTTGTATATATACCTAAATTTTATCATTATTTATATTTATAACATAATGAAGTTAATGATTAGATATCGTATATATCATTCATGTTTGTTAATGTATAAGTGTATATGAGTGTGTGTTTTATTCACACAAAAATACAATATTACTTATTATCATATTTGTGCAAAAATATAGATAAAAATGCAATTTCTATGTTGACTAGGCGCCTGCCTAGCCGCCTAGGCGTTAGGCGTTGGGCTGACGCCCGACTAGCGCCTAGCGCCTTTTAGAAAATTTCATAAGATATATAGATAGAATAAATCTTCCATTAGTACAATTTCATTCACCTAATGGACTTTTAATCTTTTTAAAAATGATTATATTTTCATCTTAACTCATATTTTTAAAAAACTAAATTAAAGAACTACTAGTACAGTACATGAGTTTACTGAATAAAGCGAAACAGTTTACACTACAAAATCAATAAAAAAGGTTACCTTAAGATTTAATATAATTCATCAGAGTCATAATTTTGACCCACCCCTTATTAGTATTTTAAAAAAAATCAATATTAAGCGCTTCTAGCAAACATGTATACCACAAAATTGCAAAAGTGTAATGCATCGAAATATATATTTCATCCGTTCTCCGATTTAGGTGAATGGACTCTTACTCATGGAAGATTTAATCTATCTATCTAGACTGTTTACGAGTTTTGATTATTTGTATAGGCATCTTTGGTAGGGATTATTATTGTTGAACCACTACAAGTACGGATTATTGGCATGAATTTCGCCATGTAATTATACCATTTGTTCCTATAAGAAACATATAAATCGGTTCAAATAAAAATGAGGGTCTTGTTAAAAGGAGTTTTTTCCAATTTTGGTCCCCCGAATTCTTTAGTACTCGACTTTTAATTTTTACTTTTTAGTCCTCGATTATTGTGCTAGAGACACTTTTGGTCATCGACTTCAAAGTTTTCCGCATATAGCCACCTGAATATTATCAAAATGACATCTTTAGTCTTCCCACTATGACTTTGATAAAATAAGTGGAGGACTAAAAATGTCACTAATATAATACTTGAAGAACCAAAAGTGTCACTTCTATGAAAGTCGTAGGACTAAATATGAAAATTTTCAAAGACGTGAACTAAGCTAAAAGTCTCTAATACCAAAAAAAATGTCTCTAATACAATATTCGAGGACTAAAAGTGAAAAATGCCAAAGTTGAGTACCAATAATATCAATGATATAATAGTCGGGGATCAAAAGTCAAAAAAACTCCCATTAAAACTATGAAAGGATACACTTTTAAAAGAGAAAAGACTTTTTAGAGTAAAAAGACTTCCTAAAAATTAGATTGTGTTTCTCATTGACGACACTATAAACATGTTTAGATAATTTGATCTCATATTTGATACTCCCTCCGTCCTATTTTAGTTAGCCAAACTTGACTTTTCAAGTCAATGTTGTCTAACTTTGACCGGTTATATGTTTCATCATCATCATTACCTCCAAGTTGCAAAGTCTCCCACCTACGGTGGGGTAAAGGGAGACCAGATGTATGCAGTCTTATCCCTATACTAAAGCACAGAGAGACTGTTTCCGAATGACTCATAGTGAAAATCACGTCGAAAAATGCATGGACTGACTACTGCTTCACAATAAAGAAGCGCAGACAGTTTAGTGAGACATTTTGCTTTATTCTATCATATTCTTAACCCAAAAAATAGTGAATCTTTGGCTCCATTGCAAATAATGGAAATACCGATTATATGTTTATATAGAGAAAATATTGATAATATGAAAATGATATGAAAATGTTCTTCGTTAAAAATACTATCATAAAACTATAAAATTATTAAATTTTGCATAAATATATTAGTTAAAACAATGAGATATTACCCGAAATAGGACTAAAACACTTTGAAAATTCCAAAATAGGACTGTCATGTTTTTATTCCCAAAATAGGACTAATTACTGCCATGTTTTGGCAGTACCAGACTTCAAACATGGCAGTATTTTCTAAACATAGCAGTAATTAGTCCTATTTTGGAAATAAAAAACATAACAGTCCTATTTTGGAATTTTTAAACTGTTCTAGTCCTATTTCAGGAACTTTCCCTAAAACAATTGGTCAATTTATCATCTTTGACTGAAAAAGTCAAAGATGGATAAGTAAATTGGGACGGAGGTAGTATAACGGATCTATTCTTATTTTTCAAGAAAATTATTCTATTTATTGGAATCGTATATATCTAAGCGTGAATTTATTATTTTCGAATTTTCCCTTTTTAACTTTGAAAATAAGTTGTCAATTTGGATTTACCAAATTCAATACCAAAGTGAAGGAAATTAATGAAAGGAATAAGTGAGAGTGTTCATGACAGTGAAATAACTGTTCGATCGGTGTTGGGCACCTCAAAGATGGGTATCATCCTTTTTGTTTAAATAATGGAAATGTTGTTGAGAAGTTTTTTATGCAAAGAGAACAATAAAGTTGTTGATTCGATGTGTACCATTAGCATCGGAATCCTTGATAGCCACACAAAAGTCCTGCAAGTTATCGGGGTCTGATGCATGACCGAATGGAGAAGCAGCTAAAGTTATAGCTACAATGGCTAAAGCTATGATGAATGGCATATTATTATGGCTCATATTTAATTACTCCGTACAATGTATTTGATACGATGTAATATGTAGTACAAGATGGTTGGCTTATTCTTCCCTAAGACTTGTGAGGTAAATGAGAAATGGAGAGCTATTTATAGCTATCAAATGTGAACTATAAATTGTTGAAGAATTGGTGCTTAGTCATCATGTTTACTAAATGTTCAAGCGGATTCTAATCGTTATTATTGCAAACTTATTGTATATCTGGAACCTACATTTTTTTGGCAAATCGAAACCTACATTTAGAACGTATGCATTTAATATTATAGATTTCGAGAATCAATTTTTGAGTGAAAATAATATTAATGCTAATGGTGAAAGTTAGGCACTTGAATGAATTAAAACAAATTTTGGTGGATGCACGAGTTCATGTTTATCCCACACCAAGATATCAACGTGAAGTAGGCATTTAAGAGCAGGCAAATATAAAAACTGAATCAAATATCCACTTAGGTGTAGAGGCTAAAAATTAGTTTGGGATGAATTAGGGGTGGGCACAATCCTACTTTTGTGACAGGTCAGAATCGGGTCCACCCAATTCTTGGGACAGGTCCGGGATCGTAAAGTTTGGGTTTTGGATGGGTCACTGACCAAACTACCATAAAGGTAGAGGTCTCGATCCCAGTGGAGTTTGGAGGTATAACCACGGTGAACTCGCAACGGTTGTGTAGAGATTATAGCTCCTGTGTGCTGAACGTAAGTTCTAGTATGCCTGTATAAGATCTACCACCTCTTGAATGGTTGAATCACCGTGAATTATAATCTTTCATATGCGTTATTGGGTTGTACTTTGGAAGCCCTTCACATCGTGGATTCAACTTCTTAGAGAAAAAATACAAGGAAAGCCCAGCACAACTAAACTCCATTTAGATTTTATTTTTAAAATTTTTCAAATGTTAATCCCTCTGTCCAATAAAAGTTTGCCAATTTTGAGTAGGAGTTTTTTTATTAAATGTGTAAAAACAAATATTACTGACGCAAATTTCACATAACTACTTCTCGTACAACTTTGCATTTGCAAAAAGTCTCAGTAGTTAATTGCAGAATTGTACAAAGCAGTTCTAAGTGGACAAATTTACAACCCCTTCTCGTAAACCTCTGCAATTAACTACTGAGGCTTTTTGCAAATGCCACTTGAGTTTTGTGCTATTTTTCCGCTAATTCGCTCTCCACGGTTTGTGCTTTTTGCTAGGTCAAGAGATTATATTTATCGAAATAGAATCAAAACCTAGGTTTTTTCTAAAAAATAGGACATGTTAGTTTAAAGGCTATAATAGGACTCTTTATTTCTGATTTGACAATGTTCCATTTTAGTGACTATTGGGAACTAGTCATAACCTATGTAGATTATGTCCACTGAATTTGAGCTTAAAATTCAATTGGGAAATTAGTTAAATAAATTATTAAAAAATCACATGTTTTTAATTAAAACATATAAAAACAATGTTTTTAGTTATTTTATTTAACTCACTTCCCGGTTGTATTTTTAAGTTGAAATTTGGTGGAGGAAAAATCACATTTTTAGTCCCTGAAATAGTCACCATATTGAAATGTCAGACTCGTGTTTCCTAGTTTGTAAATGTCACCCCTCAATTGTCGAAATTGTTGTAAATGTGGTCCTTTGAGGGGTGAAATGTACAATGTGGGTGATGCATACATTTCACCCCTCAAAGGACCACTTTTACAACAATTTGAAAAATTGAGGGGTGACATTTACAATCTCAGAAATACGGGTCTGACATTTCAACATGGTGACTATTGTCAGAGATATTGGTCTTGCATAATATACCTTATATATATTGTGGACCACGCCAATTCGAGTAGTTGTTATTTCACTACTTTAGTCGATTTTTATATTTATTATTTGTTTGTGATTGTATTTGTTGTTTGAGTTCACAATAAGAAAATAGTATTCCGCTAATTATGTTGTTAATTACAAATATTACTGGTCAATTTATTACTATGTACTTTTTACTTATGGTGCATTATGAGTACAAGAATATTATTTTGAGGTTGAACTGTCTGCTATTCGATGTGTACCTTGAAGTTATTAAACTTTTTTGCTTGATAGTTGATGCCTATTTTAAACCTTTATGTTGTTGTTATGTTTAAACTTAATGTTTGCACTTGGATATTTTTGTGATATTTGAAAATTGGAATATCATGTATGTATAATGTAATGGTCATAATTTCATCATTTAAAATTTGAATTTTTTGATGTAATTAAAGGTAAAATTTGTTCATTATAGGAGGATAATAAATTTTTATTGGGAACCGAAAAAATATAAGAACCGAATTTAACAATTACATTTTTCACTAGAAAAATACCAAATTTAGCGCCTATAATTTTTAAAAAAGTTCCATCGAATTTTAACAATAATTGAACCGATCCCGGGCCTACCTATACTTATAATAAAAGAGCCATATGTCAGGCTTAATTATCTTCCCTGATAAGCACGCAATTTCTGATTTGGAATTCCCTCATTTGTAGTATGAGACATGATAAGTGAAGTAGAACTTTGGAGATTGGCTAATAAAAAATTCCTTCAACCGAAGAGCTAAACTTCACAATTCATTAATTTAGTAGATGCTACATTGCTAAATCATTGGAAATGCATCTTCTTCCTTTCAAAAAAAAAACTTTTTCTTATCTTTGTCTTATCTTTTTAATTTATTGATTTTAGAAAAAATCGTACTTTTAATCCCTGAAATAGTCATCATATTGAAATGTCAAATTTGTATTTCTGATTGTAAATGTCACCCCTGAATTGTTCAAATTGTTGTAAATGTGGTCATTTGAGAGGTGAAATGTACTCCTCGTCCACTTTGTACATTTCACCGCTCAAAGGATCACATTTACACCAATTTGGATATACGGGTTTGACATTTCAATATGGTGACTATTTCAGGGACTAAAAATACATTTTCCCCTTTATTATCTCCGATTTCATATGTTATTCATGTTAGTTAACTCTAAAATCATTTGGGACTAAGGTTTGGATGTTGTTGTTATTCTATCACTAAACATTCGATAATAATGTACTCCGTAAGATATTTAAATTTTAATGTTATTATTCGCCGGTGTGAGTAACAATATGACTACTACTCCCTCCGTCCCATTAGAAGGTTCCTACTTTCCTTTTTTGGACGTCCCGTTAGAAGGTTCCCATTTCCATTTTAGGAAACAATTAACAATCTTAAGTGACAAATTATATCATTAAATATTAAAAATATTATATTTATAACATCACAGTTATCAATACTAACTACATTATAATATATACCTATTAAAATTATTTTTTAGAATATACTTGAAGTACTTTATTTGATTATTGTCTAAATAATCGTGCCGTTTTGCTATGTGAACTTTCCAACGGAACGGAGAGAGTATGTTGTAAGCTACGAGTATAAGTTAGTGGTGGTTAATACTGGCAGGGTGTCAGCGATTTATTGTTCCGATATAAGAGAAGTACTTCGTATACGAAATACTTGGTCCAAAAGGTTGAATGTCCAACCCCAAGCCCCCACCCCCCCCCCCCCCCCACCCCGACCCGACAGGATGTTGGGAAGGTTAATCACGGTGACTCAGTCAGCAAAGCGGCGGTAGGCCTTATACACGTTCGTACCAGAGGTCCAGCCTTATTTCAGGTTCTGTAACCTCCACACGGCCGCTACGGGTTTCGAACCTTGGTCACTTGGTCCAATTTTCCCACCACTCGACCAACTGATCTACCCGTGCGGGTACGTATATGAAATACTTCGTATATTAGTATATGACCTCAAATGCATATCAATACTTCAGTGCATTGTTGAAATATTTTGTATATCAAATAAAATGGAGCACACGAATACCACAAGGTATATAAAGTAATTACTCAAGTATGTTATATTATACTCAGTAACATTTAAAGAGTTGTCCGCACGCCTTACAAAATCGTCCAAAGTTTGTGAACATGGTTCAGATATGGACAAGTTTTATAAATGGCATTTATCAATTATGAATTTCTTTCAGAGTGTCAAAGAAGACTACATGCATATAGTAGAGGAATTTACCAAAAAGCGAGACTTTCTTGTCTGACAATCCAAAAAGCGGGAGTTGCAATTAGGTTACCATATTACGGGAGTCGAATTCGCCCGTTTCGACAAGAGGAGAAGCTCGAAAAAAATAATTTTGATATAATCCATCAGAGTCATAGTTTTGACCCACCCCTTATTAGTTCGTTTATAACACGTAGTATGATATACTAGCTAATTAAGAAAATGATGAAACATCATTCTTGAGGATCCCCCAACACCCTAAGCTAATTAAGTATATACATATCTATTATTATAGGCATATGTGGAGTGCGGTTCAAATAAAAATGTGGTTCCTGTTAAAAAGGAGTTTTTTCCAATTTTGGTCCCCCGACTATTGTGTCAGTTACACTTTTGGTACTCGATTTTTAATTTTTCCATTTATAGTCCTCGATTATTGTGCAAGAGACACTTTTAGTACTCGACTTCAAAGTTTTCCACATATTGCACCTTGAGTATTATCAAATTGACACTTTTAGTCTTCCCACTATGCTTTTGATACATACAATAAGTGGAGGATTAAAATGTCACTAATATAATACTTGAAGGACCAAAAGTGTCACTTCTATGAAACTCGTAGGACTAAATATGAAAAATTTCAAAGACGAATACCAAAAGTATCTCTAACACAATAGTTGAACACTAAAAGTGGAAAAAGCCAAAGTTGTGTACCAATAATATCAATGAGATAGTTATCGGAGGAGGACCAAAAGTTACAAAAACTCCCGTTAAAAATATGAAAGGATACACTTTCGAATCAATACGATGCACTATTGGGCTTACATGAGGCAATTTTTTGAAAGAAAAAAGACTTCGTTACGAAAATGAGATTGTGTTTCTCATTGACGACACTATTAACATGTTTAGAGTAATTTGATCTCATATTTCATATAATGGATCTATTCTTATTTTTCATTAAAATGATTCTATTTATTTGAATCGTATATATGTAAGTGTGAATTTATTATTTTCAATTTTTTCCTTTTTAACTTGGAAAATAA